AAGAGAGTGGTGAGAGAGTGCAAAAGGACAGCGGATGATAGAGTGGGAGAGGCACTGTCAAGGAATTTTAATGAAAATAAGAACAAATTTTGGAGTTAAACAAGTTAAGAAAGCCTAGGGAACAAATGGATTTATCAGTTAAGAACAGAGAAGGGGAGTTAGTAGATGGGGAGATGGAGATACTGGGTAGATGGTGAGAATATTTTGAGGAACTTTTAAATGTTGACGAAGAAAGGGAGGCGGTAATTTCATGCACTGGCCAGGGAGGTATATCATCTTTTAGGAGTGAAGAAGAGCAGGATGTGAGTGTGGGGGAGGTGCGTGAGGCATTACGTAGAATGAAAGGGGGTAAAGCAGCTGGAACTGACGGGTTCATGACAGAAATGTTAAAAGCAGGGGGAGACATAGTGTTGGAGTGGTTGGTATTTTTGTTTAACAAATGTATGAAAGATGGGAAGGTACCTAGGGATTGGCGGAGAGCATGTATAGTCCCTTTATATAAAGGGAAAGGGGACAAAAGAGATTGTAAAAATTATAGAGGAATAAGTTTACTGAGTATACCAGGAAAAGTGTACAGTAGGGTTATTATTGAAAGAATTAGAGGCAAGACAGAATGTAGAATTGCGGATGAGCAAGGAGGTTTTAGAGTGGGTAGGGGATGTGTAGATCAAGTGTTTACATTGAAGCATATATGTGAGCAGTATTTAGATAAAGGTAGGGAAGTTTTTATTGCATTTATGGATTTAGAAAAGGCATATGATAGAGTGGATAGGGGAGCAATGTGGCAGATGTTCCAAGTACAGTGGACCCCCGCTTAACGATCCCCTCCAAATGCGACCAATTATGTAAGTGTATTTATGTAAGTGATTTTGTACATGTATGTTTGGGGGGTTGAAATGGACTAATCTACTTCACAATATTCCTTATGGGAAAAAATTCGGTCAGTACTGGCACCTGAACATACTACTGGAATGAAAAAAGTTCGTTAACCGGGGGTCCACTGTATATGGAATAGGTGGTAAGTTACTAAATGCTGTAAAGAGTTTTTATGAGGATAGGGAGGCTCAGGTTAGGGTGTATAGAAGAGAGGAAGACTACTTCCCGGTAAAAGTAGGTCTTAGACAGGGATGTGTAATGTTACCATGGTTGTTTAACCCTTTGACTGTCGCAACCCCTAATCCTGAGGTGTCTCCTGGTGTCGCAAAATTTAAAAAAAAAAAAATTATTTTTTCTTATGAAATGATAGAGAATCTTTTCCCGATTGTAATGACACCAAAAAAACGAAATTTGATGGAAAACTGATGGAATTATGCTGTCGCGAATTTAGCGACCTCGGTGCTGTTTACAAATCGGCGATTTCGCCTACTTTGAGCCCTATTTTTGGCTAATTCCATTGTTCCAGTCGCCCAAACTCATAGCTATTTCTTTAGAACTCCATTTTTTCTATCGATTGAGTACAAGAAACTGCCCATTTACCGATTTCAACTACCTAATAATGTGGTCAGAAATTTGCAATTTGGCCAATTTCACGAAAACTAAAAAATATGACAATTTCAAAATAAGGTCCAGAATGAACAATGCAGACATTCCTGGCTCTAAAATAACATTTTCTTTGTTCATCAGTCATGTCTCCAGGCCCCTCTGATATTACTCTTGCTTTCTATTTTGAATTTTTATTCAAACAAAAAATTGAAGACTTACTATTATGCATACTACTGCAATACTGTAATAATTGTATAAATAACATCACCCCATTCATGACTGCATATTAGAATGGCTAGTTGGACATTTACTGGAAAATGGCATCATTTGCTTACTTTTGAACATTGGCAAAAATCAAACATTTCCCCTACTTTGAGCTCCATTTCTAGGTTCTTTTTATAGTAAAATCAATCAAAATCACCTCTATTTCTATAATATGTTTTCCATTCTATCAATTGAGACTAAGAAAACGAGAATACAACCATAAATACTATACGAAAATAGACCACAAAGTCGGCATTTTAATTAAAAAAAAACGGTCAGTTTTTTTTTTTGTCATGCACTGCGTGCTCCAGGATTTTTTTTATATGGTGCACAATGACCACACAGACCCATTCTCTCACATGTAGGCCTACCAGCTTTCTCCTGCTTGATTTGAAGCCGCTAGAATATATGAGTATACGTCAAACACGGTACCTCGTAAGACGTATATATACGGCCGCGACAGTCAAAGGGTTAATATATTTATAGATGGGGTTGTAAAAAAAGTAAATGCTAGGGTGTTCGGGAGAGGAGTGGGATTAAAGTATGGGGAATTAAATACAAAATGGGAAGTGACACAGCTACTTTTTGCTGATGATACTGTGCTTATGGGAGATTCTAAAGAAAAATTGCAAAGGTTAGTGGACAAATTTGGGAATGTGTGTAAAGGTAGAAAGTTGAAAGTGAACATAGAAAAGAGTAAGGTGATGAGAGTATCAAATGATTTAGATAAAGAAAAATTGGATATCAAATTTGGGAGGAGTAGTATGGAAGAAGTGAATGTTTTCAGATATTTGGGAGTTGACGTGTCAGCAGATGGATTTATGAAGGATGAGGTTAATCATAGAATTGATGAAGGAAAAAAAGTGAGTGGTGCATTGAGGTATATGTGGAAGCAAAAAATGTTATCTATGGAGGCAAAGAAGGGAATGTATGAAAGTGTAGTAGTACCAACACTCTTATATGGGTGTGAAGCTTGGGTTGTGAATGTTGCAGCGAGGAGGCAGTTGGAGGCAGTGGAGATGTGTCTAAGAGCAATGTGTGGTGTAAATATTATGCAGAAAATTCAGTGTGAAAATTAGGAGAAGGTGTGGACTTAATAAAAGTATTAGTCAGAGGGCTAAAGAGGGTTTGTTGAGGTGGTTTGGTCATTTAGAGAGAATGGATCAAAGTAGAATGACATGGAGAGCGTATAAATCTGTAGGGGAAGGAAGGTGGGGTAGGGGTCGTCCTCGAAAAGGTTGGATGGAGGGGGTAAAGGAGGTGTTGTGGGCGAGGGGTTTGGACTTCTAGCAAGCGTGCGTGAGCGTGTTAGATAGGAGTGAATGAAGACAAATGGTACATATTTGGGACCTGACGATCTGTTGGAATGTGAGCAGGGTAATATTTAGTGAAGGGATTCAGGGAAACCGGTTATTTTATATAACCGGACTTGAGTCCTGGAAATGGGAAGTACAATGCCTGCACTCTAAAGGAGGGATTTGGGATATTGGCAGTTTGGAGAGGTATATTGTGTATTTTTATACGTATATACAGTGGACCCCCGCTTAACGATCACCTCCAAATGCGACCAATTATGCAAGTGTATTTATGTAAGTGCGTTTGTACGTGTATGTTTGGGGGTCTGAAATGGACTAATCTACTTCACAATATTCCTTATGGGAAAAAATTCGGTCAGTACTGGCACCTGAACATACTACTGGAATGAAAAAAGTTCGTTAACCGGGGGTCCACTGTACTTCTAAACTGTTGTATTTTGGGCACCTCTGCAAAAACAATGATTATGTGTGAGTGAGGTGAAAGTGTGAATGATGATGAAAGTATTTTCTTTCTGGTGATTTTCTTTCTCTTTGGGTCACCCTGCCTCGGTGGGAGACGGCCGACTTGTTGAAAAAAAAAAAAACTTCTGTTCTAAATTGGTGAAGGATAATATATGTCAAAAGTTTTTCTGCTGTGTTTATTTTGCTCCCTTTACACCCAGGATAGCAGGCTTTTTGGACTCCTGGGTTGTAATATCCGATATATCAGTTGCCCCTCTATAAACATGTATAACCTGAAGCCTACCCATCAACCTTTCATCCACCAATACATACTGTAACAAACTACTTTTATTATGTGCTGTATCATTCCTTGTATACTTATTTATCCTCTTTTTCATAAAATATGTATTACTTATTACCAAACCTCTTTCTACATTTTAGCTCAATTAAAGGCTCCCCAATTTCATTTATCCCTGGCACCCCAAATTAACCTACTACTTCCTCCCCAACATTTTTACCAACTTTAGCACTGAAATCCCCAACCACAAGTACTCTCACACCTGATTCAAAACTCCCCATGCAATTACTCAACATTTCCCAAAATCTCTCTCTCTTCTCTATACTTCTTTCTTCCCCAGGTGCATAAACGCTTACTATAACCCACTTCTCACATCCAACCCTCATTTTACTGCACATAATTTTTTAATTAATACATTTATACTCCCTTTTTTCCTGCCATAACTTTTCTTTCAACAATATTGCTACTCCTACTTTAGCTCTATTTGAAACCCCTCACTTAATCCCATTTGTTTCTTCCCACTGAAACTCTCCCACCTGCTTCAGCTTTGTTTCACTTAAAACCAGGACATCCAGCTTCTTCTCATTCATAACATCCACAATCATTTTTTTCTTATCATTTGCACAACATCCACACACATTTAAACATCCCACTTTGATGTTTTTCTTTTTCCTTTTTAGTAGGCTATACGGGAAAAGGGGTTACTAGTCCATTGTTCCCAGCATTTTAGTTGACTTTTACAACACACATTGCTTATGGAGAAAGATTCTTATTCCACTTCCCTATGGATGAAAAAGGAAAAGCAATAAGAACAAGAACTATTAAGATAAAATCAAAGAAAACTCAGATGAGTGTGTATATATAAACGTGTACATGTATGTGCAATGTGACCTAAATGTATGTAGAAGTAACAAGACGTACCTGAAATCTTGCATGTTTATGAGAGAGAAAAAAGACACCAGCAGTCCTACCATCATGTAAAACAATTACAGGTTTTCATTTTACACTCACTTGGCAGGACGGTAGTACCTCCCTGGGTGGTTGCTGTCTACCAATGTACTACTATAGGATAGATATGTCAAAAAAAAATTAATACTGTGAAATACATTTCAGAGGAGTATTACAAATGGATAGAATGTATTGAATAGAATTGTTAGTGGGCTTGAAAACAAGATTGAACATACTTTTATTTTTCACAGTGGTGATGGCTTCCATGTAGGGGCAGACTACACAAGAGCAACATTTTCTCCTGATGCATCTTATGTTGCAGCAGGGAGTGGGGATGGTGGTGTCTTTACATGGAATGTTAATACTGGCAAACTTGAGAAAACTCTGAGAGAGCACTCGTAAGTATTCTCAACTCAGTCTTTGAGAGGTTAATTTCTTAACCACTTAGTGTGAAATTCAGAGACATTAATACTGTGTCTGTATATTGCACTTAATTTTGTGTGTTAATGACAAAAAAATCCTACCTCTGATTAATAATAAGTATCATTAAAAATTCTTAGTATTACAATAAACTGATATAACACTAAGTAACCATATTCCATTTTAAATATGCAAATGAATTTGATAACACCCACTGAAACCTTGATATAATGGACTTATGGGGAAAACTGGGTGACTGTTTGAATGAAAATCCATTGTATCGTAATTTTCAATGCAGTGAACATGGTCTATTGTAAGCAGATCTTACTGGACTTGCACACTACTGCTACTTAACAAGATCTCGATATAGTGGATTTGAACACACACACACATACCACTGCTAACAAAGGAAATCTCAGTGAAACAGATGTAGTCAGTTGTATGGAAAACCTATTGGACACACTTCAGCTAACAGAAAAAATCGTGATGCAGCAGACTTGGTCCAGCTTCAAGTAGACCTGCTCAGGTTCCAGGAGATCATAATCAAAAGCATAACAGATCCATAACAGGGATCATTGTAGATTTGCCAGATTGGCCACTGTTCCCATTGCTGAGACTGATCTGTATAGAACAGTATTTTATAACTCTTTTAAAATTTTTAATATGAAATGTAAATCATAGCTGCATAGGATACTGTAAACAAATATTTCTGTTTAATTTATTACGATGTGGGAACATAAGAACATAAGAATGTAGGAACACTGCAGAAGGCCTACTGGCCCATACGAGGCAGGTCCTTATCAAAACGACATCTACCTAAAGCTACTCAAGAAATAACTCCTGTACCCCTTGACACAGATCAAACCCAGCCCCTCCCACTCATATATTTGTCCAGTCTCTTCTTAAAGCTACCCAAGGTCCTAACCTCTATCACCCCACTGGGAAGACTGTTCCACGCATCTACAACTCTGTTAGAAAACCAGTACTTACCTATGTCCTTTCTAAATCTAAATTTATCCAACTTAAATCCATTATTCCTGGTTCTTACCTGGTTCGACACCCTCAGTACTTTATTAATGTCTCCTTTGTTTATGCCCGTCATCCACTTATACACTTCAATGATATCTCCCCTCATTCTACGCCTCTCCAGAGAGTGGAGATTAAGGCTTTAAGTCTATCTTCATACGGGAGGTTCCATACACAGTAAATCATTTTAGTCATTCTTCTCTGTATGTTCTCTAATGAGTCTATGTCCATCCTGTAGTAAGGGGACCAAAACTGAGCAGCATAATCTAAATGAGGCCTCACGAGTGATGTATAGAGCTGTAAAATAACTTTTGGACTTCTGTTACTTATACTTCTTGAGATAAATCCAAGTAATCTGTTGGCCTTGTTACGCACACTGAGGCACTGCTGTCTTGGCTTTAGATTTCTGCTTACCATGACTCCCAAGTCCTTTTCACATTCTGTATGACCAAGCTCTACTTCACCTAGATTATAGCTTCGAGAAAGGGAGGGTGAGTACAGTAAGCTAGATTAAGGAGAGGAGACAGACTGTGTTACCCTCATGCCTTACTCTCCAACCATTTCCTTGTCCTGCCCCGCCTACTAACTACCGACACTTAATAGATGGGGATATCTACCACACATGTTTTTAATGTGATTAGGGTCTGCCTGGCAAATAATGGTGCTCACCTTATCTGTCTCTTTAAAGCTTGAAAGGCAGTAACTCAGTTCTGTTTACAGTAAGCACCAGGAGTCTGAGTCTATATAGAATTCTGCACATCATGGCATGAGAGGAGAATTGTATGTGTGTTTGGCATTGAACACTGGTGCACTAACGCTGCTAGCTTGTGCGTCACTTTCATAGGCTGCCCATGCTTCTATATTTCTCTTTTGTAATATAAAGAAAACAGTGAGCTACACTTAATACCTGCTGATGTGCATAGTAAGCAGCTTAGGTATTGCCAGCAAAATCACTTAATAAGTTTTTGTTTGTGAAGGAATGCTCACTTCCAAATTGATGAACTGTTGGTGTAGTTTTCTTTTAAAAAGTAAAGTACTGGTATGCAATTGAAGGTATATACAATATACATGCATTAAAATTTTTTATATTGTTTCGTTCTTTCTCTTGCAGAGCCTGTGTCGTGGCATGTGCATGGCATCCTAGTGGAAAATCACTTGTGTCATGTGATCGAGCTAAAAAAGTCATAGCTTGGTCAGATTTCTAAAGCCATTGAGGAAGTACTCTAATTCACTGTCTGGTGTTCTTTACCAGTGGTGATTTTTGGAGTTGCCACAACTGTGATACAGGTAATTAAGTCCTAGGTTTTGCTCGAGTTGTCTCTCTACCAAGCTGCATCACTGCCACAGCTGCGTAGGATCTAGTTAACCGTAATATTGCTTTACAGTCACTGGCACATCCCATCCATGAAGTTTCTAATGATTGATCACTGTCAGTTTTATGACAGGTGCTTTTCCTATGAAAGTGGAAAATGTGGTAGTGATGATGATGATGATGATGATAATGATATGATATATAACATTGTGCATGAAAAAGATTAACTTGATTCTAGGTGGCTGAGGTGCACAATTTATTTATGTATTGTAAATAAAAGAGTTGCAGGGCACTACGTCAGTGAAAATCATACTCTGGAGATTTATTTGAATATTTTTTATCAATGTTTGGCATAATTTGAATAAAAGTGTACTTGCATATTTTTGTGTGAAGAAAAAATATTAGAAAATGAAAGTAATCCTGAATATTTTTAGCTTTGCTGCAGTGATAGTTGCTATTAGGACTACATAATGAATTGCTGTTCAGATTTGCACCTAGGATTCTTCTTTATTTAAAATTTGGTACAAATTTAAAATCTGTGAGAATGTATCTGTACAGAATTCTATATATAAATATTTTCTGCTGATTAGCTCTTATTTATAATTTATGGTTACTTAAGTTATCCATACCCATCAATTTCCATTATTTTCAGTGTCATGTTTTGAATGTGGGAAAAAAAGGCACAAATAATATTTTTTTTTAACATGTCAGCATTTTCTCACCAAAGCTTAATTTCCCTCATGACAGGTTTCTATTTTGTTTCTTATCACATTGTTAATCATAGGCAGTATCGTGTGCTTTTAGTTTTTAATTACTGCTCTCATATAATTCTACTCAAGTTAGATCATCATAATTCACCCTTTGTTTCACTTTGTTAACTATTATACAAGCTCGGTCTTTTACCTTATTAATAGATAGTTAACCCGTAAACGGTCCAAGCAGATCTACGTTCACATGTGTAGTGCTACAAAAGTAGATCTACATTTTTTTACATTTTTTTTTTTTCAACAAGTCGGCCGTCTCCCACCGAGGCAGGGTGACCCAAAAAAGAAAGAAAATCCCCAAAAAGAAAATACTTTCATCATCATTCAACACTTTCACCACACTCGCACATTATCACTGCTTTTGCAGAGGTGCTCAGAATACAACAGTTTAGAAGCATACACATATAAAGATACACAGCATATCCCTCCAAACTGCCAATATCCCAAACCCCTCCTTTAAAGTGCAGGCATTGTACTTCCCATTTCCAGGACTCAAGTCCAACTATATGAAAATAACCGGTTTCCCTGAATCCCTTCACTAAATATTACCCTGCTCACACTCCAACAGATCGTCAGGTCCCAAGTACCATTCGTCTCCATTCACTCCTATCTAACACGCTCACGCACGCTTGCTGGAAGTCCAAGCCCCTTGCCCACAAAACCTCCTTTACCCCCTCTCTCCAACCCTTTCGAGGACGACCCCTACCCCGCCTTCCTTCCCCTATAGATTTATATGCTTTCCATGTCATTCTACTTTGATCCATTCTCTCTAAATGACCAAACCACCTCAACAACCCCTCTTCTGCCCTCTGACTAATACTTTTATTAACTCCACACCTTTTCCTAATTTCCACACTCCGAATTTTCTGCATAATATTTACACCACACATTGCCCTTAGACAGGACATCTCCACTGCCTCCAACCGTCTCCTCGCTGCTGCATTTACCACCCAAGCTTCACACCATATAAGAGTGTTGGTACTACTATACTTTCATACATTCCCTTCTTTGCCTCCATAGATAACATTTTTTGACTCCACATATACCTCAACGCACCACTCACCCTTTTTTACATATTTTCAAATATAACAAAAAAAAAAAGTAGATCAAAGTTTTTTTATACATTTTCAAATGTAAAAGAAACAAAAAGAAGATCTACTTTTTTACATACTTTCAAATGTTGAAAAAACGTATATATACGTTTGGACCGTTTACAGGTTAAACATGTTATGCACTAGACTGATTTTTTTGCAGATAGTGAGAGTTTATAATCTTCACTGCTTTTGTTTCTTATACACCTCAGTATTTAAAAATATGTTCACATTTTGCCTTGAGTGTGTGATTGTTTTATAATTTTAATATAATGGAAGTACAGGTTGACCATCACTAATCCAGCATCATCGGGACATGTATGGTGCCGCATTAGTGATTTTGCCAGATTACAGAGTGGTTAGGTTAGAATACAGTTAACACAATGGCGATATTTATGCATTGGCAATTTCACCCACTTTAGGCCCTATTTTTGGCCCATTCCATTGTTCCAGTCTACCAAACTCATAGCTATTTCACTAGTATTCTTTTTATTCTGTCAACTGAGTACAAGAAACCACCCATTTACCTATTTCAACTACCCAATAAAATGGTCAGAAATTGGTAATTTGGCCAATTTAACACAAATTTCAAGTGATGCCAATTTCAAAATAGGGTTCAGGATAAACAGTGCAGACATTCCTGGCACTAAAATAACATTTTCTCTATTCAATAGTCATGTCTCCAGGCCCCTCTTATATTACACTTGCTCTCCATTTTGAATTTTTATTCACACAAAAAAATAAATAAAAATAAAGAATAAAGATTTTATTTCTTTGTAAAGGTTACAATGTGTAATTACAATTTTGGTTTGCTAAGTACAAAGAAAGTCACTATCATAGCAGGGCATTTCGGGCAGACTAATCCTAGTATGTACATAATTACTTAAATCTAGACAAAATAAGAGTGGTTAACTCTTATTAAAATCTTTATTTAATCTTAATATTAATGTGAGGTATTCAAGGTGGAGGTTTATGAGAATAATAATCTTGAAGTTACTTATAATAGAAACAGTATTAATGGCTCAAGCAGTAATATTTCATGGATTGGCAGATGTTTAATAGACTAGAGGTCATATACTGTATTAACTGATTAGAAGTTGTTTTGGTTAGTATTGAGAGATGAAATGATTTTTAAGCAATGTCCTAAATTTATAAGTAGTCAGGAGATCCTTTACCAGTTCAGGTAGTGGGCCCTTTATGTGCACTGCATTTTTGCATAGTGTGAGACTGACACAAGGGATGTTGAAGAGTGCCTTGTGCCTTGTAGTGTGATTATGCATTCTGTTGTAGCTATCAAGGAGAAGTTTAAGTGGAGGGTTTATATTAGAGTTTAATGTTCTGTATATGTAGTAGGCTCAATAATATGAGTGTACGTCTCGTATATTTAGTAAGTTCAGGCTTTTGAAAAGTGGTGGGGTGTGCTGTATAGCACAGGAACTGGTAATCATCCACACAGCAGCTTTTTGTTGAGTTATTAAAGGTTTCAGGTGGTTAATCCCCAGGCACAAATACCATAGGTGAGGTAGGGATATACAGTGGACCCTTGCCTTACAATATTAATCCATTCCTGAGAGCTCATCATAAGCCGAAATTACCATAAGGCGACTTAATTATCCCCATAAGAAATAATGGAAATCAAATTAATCCATGCAAGACACCCCAAAGTATGAAAAAAAAAATTTTACCACATGAAATACTAATTTTAATACACACAAACTGAAGAAGACATGCACAATTACTACTCTACTAAGAATAGAATACATGACACTTACCTTTATTGAAGATCTGGTGATGATTGATGGGATGGGAGGAGGGGAGAGTGTTATTGTTTAGAAGGGGAATCTCCTTCCATTAGGACTTGAGGTAGCAAGTCCTTTTTTGGGGTTACTTCCCTTCTTTTAATGCCACTAGGACCAGCTTGAGAGTCACTGGACCTCTGTTGCACAACAGATCTGTCCATAGAGCTCTGTACCTCCCATTCCTTTAAGACTTTCCTAAAATGGGCCATAACATTGTCATTGTACAGGTTGCCAACATGACTTGCAGTTCAACCCACTTTGCACACATTTCCTTAATCTCTTTTTTCAATTCCATACTAATTCTTGCCCTTTTTACCACAGGGATGGCACTAGAAGCTTTCTTGGGGTCCATGGTGACTTATTTTGCAGTTACAAGCACTAAAAACACTGGGATAATGTGAAATGTACCGAATGTATGCATAGATGCAACCGCACTGGCTGGCTTGTAAGCACTGGCGCTGAGGCCACTTGTGGGACATGTCCCAGACGAATCATGTAAGGCGAGTTTTTTATCGTGAGGTGAGGCAAAATTTTTGCGTTCAAATGCTTTGTATGGTGGATTTAACGTAATGCGATGTGTTCGTAAGGTGGGGGTCCACTGTATTAATGAGCGTTATAGGGTAAGGAGTGTTGTTTGGGGTACATAGTATCATACCTTGGTAAGGATGCCTACTGATTTGGAAATTTTCTTGGATATATGTTGGATGTGTGTGTAAAATTTAAGATTACAGTCAAGGAGAAGACCTAGAAATTTACCCTCACTGTGTCTGGAAATAGGGGAGCCAATTATTGATATATTAAGTTGGATATTTAAGGCTCTCTTTCCAAACAGCATGAAGTATGTTTTCTCTGTGTTGAGAGCGAGTTTGTTGGTCATCATCCAAGTACAGTGGTACCTCGAGTTTTGAACAGCTCCCAACTCGAACAATTATGTAAGTGTATTTTTGCAAGTGCTTTTGTAAGTGTATTTTTGGGGGTCTGAAACAGACTAATCTAATTTACATTATTCCTTATGGGAACAAATTCATTTGGTATCAGCACTCAAACAGCCTTCTGGAACAAATTAAGTTCGTAACTTGAAGTACCACTGTATATATTTTTAGCAGCTCGTTGTTTACGGTATCTCTAAGTATAGCTGGGTTTGAATGGGAGTAGACATAAGTAGTGTCATCTGCAAATAGAACTGGTTTAAGGAGTTGGGATACATTGGGGAGATCATTGATGTAGATGAGAAAGAGGAGTGGGCCTATGACACTACCCTGGGGCACTCTGACTACTACAGGCTGGATAGTGGAGTTGACTCATTTGCATATACATACATACTGGTATCTATCATTAAGATAAGATTTTAGGTAATCGCGGGAATGTCCTCTGATGCCATGATTTAATTTTAGGTGCAGGAGATTGTGGTCCACTGTATCAAATGCTTTCTGTAGGTCAGTGAAGAGCCCCAGAGGATATTCATTTTTATCGAGGGCTGTATATATTAGTTCAAGCATTTGTATAATAGCATCATTCGTACTTTTTTTTTGGTCTGGTCCCAAACTGGCAGGGGTTAAGTATGTTGTTCGATATAAGGTAGGAGTAAAGTCATTTGTGTATTATATTTTTGAATATTTTAGAAAGTAAGGGCAAGTTTGATATAGGGCTATAGTTGTTCAAATCAGTTGGAGCACCTGTTATGCAGACTATTGCATTATTGTAATAATTGTATAAATAATGTCAACCCATTCATGACTGAGTATTAGACTAGCCAGTTGGACATGTATTGGACGGTAACTTCATTTGTTTACTCTTGAACATCGGCAAAAATCAAACATTTCCACTACTTTGAGCTCAGTTTTAAGGTACTTTCCAGCATGAAACCAAAATTATATCTTTTCTGTAATATATCTTCCATTCCATCAAATGAAACCAAAAAAATGAGAATACAACCATACAAAAATACACCACAAAAGTTGCTGTTTTACATCAAAAGCACAATTACCATTTTCTCATTATGCACTGCATGCTGCAGGATTTTTTTTTATAAAGTGCACACTTACCCTCAGATCTATTCTTTCATATGTAGGCCCAAATTTAACAGTCACAGCTTTTCTGAGTGAGCTGAGCTCATGGCGACCGACAGTGGCTTCAAAGCCATCTTATCTTTTATGGACAATGTAAGGTGTATGTGCTTTACACAATGAGAACCATTTCTTTTATTCATTGGAACCATGGCTAGGGCTAAAAGTGAGGTTATAACAATAAATGGAGAAAAAGAAATTGGAATGACTTATGCAGCAAGTAGTGCCACCAAACAGTAGTGGCTGGTTGGCGAGGCAACCCAGAAATTTTGAATTATGCTAGCCGAAGTTAGTGCTGGATTACTGATGGAACCAGATTACTGATTGCCAGATTAGTGATGGCCAATCTGTACTCACTTTATCTTCATGGAAAGAGATTTTACCTTCATAGTAATAATTGTCTAACTATGAAGTTGCACAGGGAAAGATTATAAGTGCAGGAGGTATATTCTTAGTTTGCAAATTGATCTATACAAAATGTACCCCATGATTAAAACAGGCTCTGAAATAAAATAAAATACAGGCGCTTAAATAAGTAATTTGATTTACGAGTTTTATATAAAGCAAATCAGCAGCTTAAAGTAGTCATGAAAATGTTTTTGGATTAGTATGGCTCTTCATTTTATTAGATAACAAGGTAAGGACACTTTGTTTCCAAGACAGCCTAGATCAGGATATTTTAGGATCTGAACAAATCCTACTTTATGACTTGTATCCTGAGCAAGTATACATACTCTATTCATAGTTTTATTATATTTCACTTTGGAATAGATGTAGATACAGTGTATTAAAACATTCACATAGATGTGCTGGCTCTGCTGGTTGATAACTATGTGGGCCTGAAACTTACAACCTTTTACCTAAAACCATTAATAGGTGAATCAGTCTTAACAACCAAAACATTTTCTGCAGTAGAAAATGTGGTATGATTGTTGCTAGTCCCTTTGATGCAAGTACCTGCATAGCAGTAGTTGTGCAGTTGTTGTATATAAGATTTATTTTATATTGAATTCTCCAGGCAACGGAAAAAAAAAAAATACTCGATCAGATACAGCCGGCCCTCCCTAATTCGCAGAATTTAATTATCTAACATTTTATTGAACAATGTGTGAATAAATCTGATTAATCACAAGGACTTTGTGTTTATTTTCTTTTTTTTTTTTTTTGTATTGCCTACCACCCCTACATTGAAAACTTAACAATAAGATTTCATTCAAAATGTGTTCATTGAATTTTCTCATGCCAAATCTGTTTTGATTCTGCTTATTCTTTCTTATAAAGAGGAACTTTAATGGATGTATAAATATATCTAGAGAGATAAGACCTCCAAAATACAAAGTGAATATAAATCTGAAAAATGATTGTGTAGACATAATTTTATGTTATTTGAGGACTTTTGATTTGCTGGACATCTAGGAATGTAACTCTTGAAAATTTTGGGATGTGGCTGTATAGGAAACAGTATTTCTTGACAAGGGTGTGAGTTAACTCTTGTATGGATTGAACAGAATATAAGCTTGTTACTTAGTCATATATCCAGAGTAACATTTGACTAGAGCATACCTGGAATAAAAAGTAACTAATACAAGAGTTATTTGCTAGTAACTCTGAATAGCACAGCAGAACATGGGAGGAATGTTATACATCAGAAGATTAAATGAAATGTAGCAACTTCGCTAATGTCTGAGGGAAAAGTTGTGAATGTGTAATGTGATAGTTGTGATGAATGGTTATGAAAACCGACAAGTTGAAGAATTGAGACACTTATGCAACACATGGGAATCTTTATTGAAGAAACGTTTCGCCACACAGTGGCTTCATCAGTCCAATACAAAGTAGAAGTGGGTAAGGAGAGTAGAAGTTTGAGGTAATCAGTCCCTCAACCTGGAATCGATGTGTTCAGTCCATCACTCTTGTAGGAAGTGCAGCATAGGGCCAGAGAGGTGGCTTATATACTGCAGTATATAAGGCCAGAGATATGGCTTATATACTCTGGCCCTATGCTGCACTTCCTACAAGAGTGATGGACTGAACACATCGATTCCAGGTTGAGGGACTGATTACCTCAAACTTCTACTCTCCTTACCCACTTCTACTTTGTATTGGACTGATGAAGCCACTGTGTGGCAAAACGTTTCTTCAATGAAGATTCCCATGTGTTGCATAAGTGTCTCAATTCTTCAATGTGATAGTTATATAAATTCAAGTTTGTCAGCTGTAAAGGACAAAACCTATGGTTGAATGGAAATAGATACACAAAAGTTACCAATGTGTCAACTACTGAAGCTTTAATGCGAGGAAGAATGTCAGGTGCTTAGTCCTTTTTATTCTAATTGCCATTATGCCTTTTTATATGATCTGCAATGTAAAAACTTCAAAGCTTATCAGCAGCTTTGTAGCCATTAAAAACAAAGTGTATTGAGGATGAGCAGTTGTCTTACCATTTAAAGGGCTTAACTTGTAACAGATAAAAGTGTGAAAAGTGATGCTTTAAGTGTTAGTTTCCTGGAAAGTCTTAATTGAATTCTGTTGAATTCAGCAGAACACGAAATAGATTACAAGTTTATTAGAGGAACATTTTGGTAGGTGATTATGAAATTCAAAGAGTGTTATATGGAGATTAAGGAATGCTCATTGCACGCTGAGTACTGTATTAGGTGAATGCGGGATTGAGTAATTGACAGTGCACATCTGAAAGATGTTGTAAGTGTATTGTGTCACTAAAGTTGAAAAATAAAGTCATAGTATATGTCTTGTGGATGAGATTTTTGTTATACAGTGACAGAATTTATAATAAGATGTGAATGTGCTGTACTATATTAAAAAAAAAAAGCAGCACTAAACATATGTGGGTCACACAACACTGCAAATACAGAATGTTTGAATTTTAGTGATCCAGGGAGCATTTTATTATTCTCGCTGCAGAGTACGTAAAATTTTTTTTAAATGTTTTTTGATGTTGAATTTTTTTTAAGTGGATATTTGATACTCCATACAGTTAAACATTTTTATAAAAGCATTCCTATGTTTGTAATACATTTTTGCACTGTCTGAATAATTATTGTAAAATTGTTTTATCCAGAAATATTGAAATGCTAGACTAGCAGATGATTATAGTGTCTCCATATCTAATATATTTGTTGAATATTTTCTTATAATGGTTCATACTGTTTTAGCTTAAAAAAATAAATATTGCTAGAATATTTTTTCCTTTACAGAAAGAGATATTTCTGTTTAATTTTCTACAAGTTTTTCATTCGAAGTGTTATGATGGAAACACCATTGGAATACTTAGCACTAGGGAAAGAAGACTACTGTTTAAAAGTAAGGTATTGGAAGATAAAAATGATTCATGATTTTCACTGCTGATGTTATAATGAAGTGTAATTGTTTTCTTAGTTACAATTTAATAGATTATTTCACTTCAGTGACAATCACTGACAGTTACATTATGTTTTTTATTACTGGAAATTTAAAATTAGATAAGGAGGCAGACTTTCTGTGTCTTTAATTGTTGACAGCTTAATCAAACGTCTTGTGAATATGTATTGTAGGACAAAAGCTGTAATCTTTGTTGACAAGTTAAAATAATTTAATGCTGAGATATCATTTTTAAACTAAGTTTAAAATTTAGATGGGAGTTCAATGCATGTTATGGATCAGTTTTTCCTGCTTTGTGGTGCTACTTATTATTTTTTTCATTTTTCCCGTTGCAAAATTATACATCTACATTGTATACAATGCCATATTGTTATTACATTCACAAGATGTTAAACCCATATGGGTCATGCAGCACCAGCCAGATATAAAATGTTGATATGCAAGCATTGTTATAATTATGAATTATTATGATGTGGGAACACTAAACTCTTAAGGATTATACAGTGCCTGTGGGGAGGGGGATGGAAGGCATTCAGGCTCAATTCGGGAAACTGAAGCACAGATCAAATTCCCTTGATTAAGAGCTATAATTATGAAGACTTAAGAGCTCTTTGCTTGAGCTTTGATATTCCTATGACTCAAGACTTTTGATTTATGCAAAGCATTTTGTTTTTTTAACCCTTTGACTGTTTCAGGCCCCTCTCTGAAACTGTCATTCTATGTCGCCAAATATTCAAAAAAAAAAAAAAATTATTTTTTCTTATGAAAATGTTAAGATTATTTTTCTGAGTGTTTTAGTCCAAAAAAAAAATTTTTGCCATCGGTACTTACCGAGATATAGAGCCGTGAAGTTTGCAGAAAATGAGCCGCGTATGGAAACAGCGGCGACTGCCGCTACGGCCGGTAAACTTTAGTTTACTTTGAAATTTGGGAAAAGGTTTTTTGTTTTTTTCACTATTTTTATTTTTTCACATAATTTTATGTGGCCTATGAGCCCAAAGTAAGGCAATGTATATAAATACACTCGTTGAACAAACACAAAAGCACACAAAACATAATTATCAATATATTGTTTAAAACAAAACTTGTTACAAAAACAAACAAACAATCATCCTCCTCCTCCTCCTCCTCTCCTCCTCTCCTCCTCCTCTCCCTCCTCTCCTTCTTTTCTTCTTCTTCTCTTTCTTCTTCTTCTCTTCTTCTTTCTCTCTTCTTCTTCTTCTTCCTTCTTCTTTTCTTTTCTTCATCCTTCTCTTCTTCTTCTTCTCTTCTTCTCTCTCCTTCCTCCTCCTCCTTCCTCCTCCCCTCCTCTCCTCCTCCTCCCCTCCTCTCCTCCTCTTCCCCCTCCTCCTCCTCCTCTCTCCCTCCTCCTCCTCCCCTCCTCCTCCTCTCCTCTCCTCCTCCCTCCTCCTCCTCCTCCTCCTCCTCCTCCTCCTCCCCTCCTCTCCCCTCCTCCTCCTCTCCTCCTCTCCTCCTCCTCCACCTCTCCTCCTCCTCTCCTCCTCCCCTCTCCTCCTCCCTCCCCCTCCATCCTCCTCCCCCTCCTCCTCCTCCTCCTCCTCCTCCCTCCTCCTCTCCTCCCCTCCTCCTCCTCCTCCTCCTCCCCCCCCCTCCTCTCCTCCTCCTCCTCCTCCTCTCCTCCTCCTCCTCCTCCCCTCCTCCTCCTCCTCCTCCTCCTCCTCCTCCTCCTTCCTCCTCCTCTCCTCCTCCTCCTCCTCCTCCTCCTCCCTCCTCCTCCTCCTCTCCTCCTCCTCCCCCTCCTCCTCCTCCTCCTCTCCCCTCCTCCTCCTCCTCCTCCTCCTCCTCCTCCTCCCCTTTCCTCCTCCTCCTCCTCCTCCTCCTCCTCCTCCTCTCCCCCTCCTCCTCCTCCCCCCCTCCTCCTCCTCCCCCCTCTCCTCCTCCTCCTCCTCCTCCTCCTCCTCCTCCTCCTCCCCTCCTCCTCCCCTCCTCCTCCTCCTCCTCCTCCTCCTCCTCCTCCTCCTCCTCCTCCTTGTCTTGTATGGGAGTGTGTGGCTTATAATTTTTTTTGAGTCAGAAGTCGGCAGCTGTCAAAGTGACATATTGTTCATTAGTCTTTAAATCTTTCTCCCTCATTCTATATCTTTCAATCTGTCTCTCTTTCTGTCTGCCTGCCTATCTCTGTCTCACAGGTACACATAAATACAAGTATACATAGTGTAAATTACTAGGGGTAACCCAAGAAATCCAGAACAAAGTGCTATACTCTGCTTGAAATGTGAGTAAACGTGATGACACAGTCTTGTGGCTCCTCTCTGAGACAGAGAGCTAGATGGACAGACAAGGGGGCTTGACAGACAGACAAATAGACAGACAGAAATGTTTGTGTAAACCCGCAAAAACAAAGGGAGGGCGATGGTCATGTAATATTACCCTCCTTTTCCTCATCAAAGTCAGCCTCTTATCAGATGTTATCTCCCCTTATCTTGTCACTGTCATGGGGTGGACTTTTTTTTTTCTTGCTTCAAGGGAACAATATTATTACATCTTCTTCTTTCCCCCTCCTCCCCCTCCTCCTCCTCTTCTCTCCTCCTCCCCCCTCCTCCTCTCCTCCTCCTCCTCCTCCTCCTCCTCTTCCTTCCCTCCTCCTCCCTCCTCCTCCTCCTCCTCCTCTTCCTCCCCTCCTCCCCTCCTCCTCCTCCATTTCTTTTGGTCTCAAACTCCTCCAAATCATGAAATTGATTTTTCACTGACACTTTTCCCTCTGTGTTAGAGCATCACTTGGGAAGAGAAGAGTCCCAGATTTGCTGGGGAATCACATATTTCTTACCGCTAGACATGCTGAAAAAGGACAACTGAAATGGCATTCCCACAATGCACCACTGGCTCCCCGATTTTTTTTATATGGTGCACACTGACCATGGAGACCCATTCTCTCACATGTGGGCCTACCAGCTTTCTCCTGCTTGATTTGAAGCTGCTAGAATTTATGCGTATAAATACGTCAGAAACATTGGCTTGTAAGACGTATTTATACTTCGGAAACAGTCAAAGGGTTAATACTTCAAAATTTGTGCATTATTTCTCTGTGCCAGTATTAATAAATGCAGAAATCATGATTCTATATTTTTATGGATCAAATTTAACCCTTAAACTGTCCAAACGTAGATCTACGTTTATGCGTGTAGTGCTCTGACCTTGATTTTTCCCATTTGAAAGCATGTAAAAAAACGTAGATCTACGTTTGGAGCACTACGCGAGCGAATGTAGATCTGCATTTGGACAGTTTAAGGGTTAAAAAAAAAAAAAGAACGTACAGTACAGTACCTGATTTTTTGACACTGAACTTGTGAACTAGAGTGTCGTCTGTCACTAGGTTTCTCACTTACAGTGGAACCCCAAGTTTTGGCCGTAATCTGTTCCAGGAGCTAGACCTAAAGTTGAAATAGCCTAAAGTTGAAGCAATATTT